AGATAAATAGGAATTGTCAATTTCGTCGACCTCTTCTGGCAAAGTCGTTGTATCTGATACCGATCCAGCTCCAACACCTTCATGTAGTTCACGTTGAACCATTTCCTTCCAAGAATGCAATGTTGTGCAGAAATCAGGACTCGATAGACCTCAGAGACGCTCCATCACGGTCTCGAATACTGCTTTTGCATAGCAGTACTTCTCCTCGGTTGACATAACAACAACATTTGCTCGCTCGCAGCGACGCAACTTCACGTAGATGATTCGGCGTTTCGATTTAGCGCGCAGTCTTGTCGTTTTGATATCTCCTAGCTAGCTCTCCTTTCACTTGTGTTGCTTCGTGTGTTGCCTCGTGTGTTGCTTCGTGCGTTGCACCACTCGATTGAGTAGCGTCCTATGTTGCACTAATCGGTTGAGTTGCTGATAATGTTGATGCAGAACCCTGCGGCTAGACCGCGTCGAAGGCATCGCTGGCTACTTTCATCGAAGTTTGAGCGACCTGGAGGGAATAGATACCAGCTTGAAACGCCTTTTCTATTGCCGCCATTTCCAGCATGGCCCAGCGTGGAGCAATCGTCAATGCCGGGAGATACTCGAACCGGTGAACGCGGTCAGTAATGTACATCAAGTGCTGACATGGGAGGTGATTACTTCGATAGAATAGGCATGTGCACGTCCTCTGATAGTCATTGCAGAGATATGCGCGCCCCTGCGTAGACAACACCCACTCTCCCACTTTCACATTTTCTTTCTTGCACGTAGCTTCCTCCAGATATACCATAAAGTGCTCCCACTGAGTGCGCACTTGCGTAAACGAAGCATCGCTTAGGTGCTTTGCCACAACTACCAGGAAGTCTGGGACAGAGTCAGGCTGCCGCGAAGTCACCGAGTGCTTGCGAATTGAAGCAAGTAGCTGTCGAATAACTGTCGTTTGGCGAACTAGAAGCCCTCCAATCTTCGCATCAATCCGGGGTCTCTTACCGAGGAGCAGCTTCACCTGAATTCAGTTGGACTTAATTCGATTGGTGGTGGTATTGTCTGCAGAGAAGTACGCCCCACGGAGATAATTTGCCCACATCGAATCGCACGTTTTCCAATTCCGCAAAAAGTAAGCAAGTAGCTTAGGGAACTTCTCCTCGCTTGTTCTTGTGAATGCTGCCAGCTCAGAATCGAACGCTATCTGCGTGTTGCTACATTTCGCACAACACATTTAGCAACACAGCAAAGCAACATATTAAGCAACATTTCATAATCAACACATGAAGCAACACACAGAATCGTACCAGTAGATTAGCTTTGCAAACGCGTCCTCCATCCTGTCGCTCGGTGATATGGTCAGGTCAAACTTGGGACGACGAAACACTTTTCTCCAGTACGTGAGCGCGTGAAATTGGCACAGAATAGCCTTGGTGCCGGGGAATACTTTTTCCAGGACCCGCCACTCCACGAAATCTTTGCCGATAACGACAGTCTGGATTAAATTCCAGGACGGGTTGTTCATTTTGAAGAATTCAACGATACGGTCCATTGTTTGTGCTTTCTGGTCTAGCGCAAAAAAGTCAATTTCAGGTATGCCCCGTCCTGTTGCCGACGTGACCACAAGACTTCCTAAAAAAGCATAGAAGTTAGTATGTGCATGATCTGACAATTAAATACGATGCAACGTACCCAAATGATATCTGAGGTTATTAGTCCCGTGTGTCCAGTCCATGACCAGTGTTTCACCCCACTGACGAAAACACTTTTTTCTGAATGGAGGTTTGCAATGCAACGATACAGGTTTTATCCATTTGGCTTGCACCAGGAGAACATCATTGCCTTCTTCCGTGACAAAGGTACCCAAAAGAGAACTTGGTTCGTTCCAACGCTAATGATTCCAATAACGCCCGTAGCATATTACGTGTTTGCTGAGGTGTAATAGTAATATCTGCACGTAAACGAAATGTTGTTAAGCTCGATTAAAACTTTGATTGTACAGCAATTCTTAAGGTTTACTGCGGTAACCCTCGATTACGAAAAGCACCCACCCAGCTTGTCCGCCAGATAGCGGTTCACAGCAGCAGTACTGGGCTTCACCTCGCTAAGTAGACTGAGTTCTTGGCGAACTTTGCGCGACAAAAGTGACTTCGCACTACGATACGAATCGTATATCACCTTCGTTGTGGGGTGGTTGTGCATCGATATCTAGAGCAGTAAACAGTTAGAACTGCAAATATGCGTAAGAACAGCATCTTACGCATCTCTGTTTCTTCATCAATACACACTTTCCATGAGGGTTTACCGGTCTCAACTGAGTAGACAGAAAGCACAACAAAGCTCGCTTCACATTCCGTAAATCGGCAGTCGTGTTCACGGCGCCCACGCCCTCGGGGGGCCTGAGCTGCAGCATGCGTACACCAAACTCGCTTGAAGCTGTGGGTCAAAAATCAGGTATCTTCCTAGCACCAGGAAGCCTAAGCAACACACAAAGCAACATAGCAGCAAACAACACGCAAACGACATAGTGAGACAGCAACATAAACGTCAATATCGGTATCGTGCACTTCACCTGTTGTGCTTCTCTCTTGTCTCAGAGCTCCGAGCTCGATAGCAAAGGAAGTGCTCGGCTTCGAAATTTTTGAGCACTTTCTGATACTCCTCCCACGTGTTGAGGACCTTTTGCGGTAGCCCTGGCTTGTCGTTGATGATTGGGTTTAGCGTTTTCACAATCTTCTTGCGGTTATCCGCGTTTTTGGTTTGGCGACGCCAGAGATGATGTGGTCGACTAGCCGACCCTTCAGTGGATACTTGTTGTATGCTCAGGATCTGGGTCATCTGTAGTCGATAATTCTAATTAGAAAATGTTAATAACATTGTAGACGACTCGTACCTGATTCTGATACTTTGTTTTCCGTATCGTTGGAGTCCGCTAGGGTGGCTGCGGCGGCGTTATCCTCAATGTTGCCCTCAGTGTTGCCCTCCGTGTTGCCCTCAATGTTGCCCTCCATGTTGCCCTCCATGTTGCTCTCAGCGATAGCGGCCGACGAGTCAGCTACCACCTTAACAGTAGCATTCTGGGTATTTACCACCTCTTTGTCATGCGTGGTAGCTTTAGCCGTGGTATCTGGTGTGGCAGGGACATCCTCGTCCTGCGTGGCGTTCTTCGTAGCGTTCCTCGGAGCGGGGACATTCTCGTCCTGCGTGGCGTTCTTCTAGGCGTCCTGCGTGGCGGGGACATCCTCGTCTTGTGTGAAGGCGTTCTCCGTGGCGTCCTGCGTGACGGGGACACCCTTCGTGTAGCCGCGTGTCAGACTAACGTAATCACGCGGGCGCAAGGTGGAGCGACGTCCTACACACACCAAATCAGTTTATATCTGTGACGGGGTCACACAGCACCTTGTGCAAGAGGAAGTTAGCTTCCGAGAGTATACAAACGCTCAGTGAACGGCAGTTCACAGGTCCCCTTTTTATCAAAAGGGAGCGAAGTGACCTATTTAAGGTAGAAAGTAAACTGAGTATATTTATAGGTAGATAAAGCTTGGGTTTAATACAAACTATAAGTCACCTTTAGAAAAGCAATGTCATCAGACCTTGGTACCTTGTACCAAATATTCCGAAGTATGACGTGTCACACTTCATGTAACCAGGGGTACACTTAGGGCTACGTACCCGTTACAATATCCATCACGGCGTAATTTAAAAGTGTCATACCTGTGTTAGCGACCGACTGGACGAGCGCCAAACCCACTTGTTTCGACTTCCCCGCTCGCTTCTTTTCGCCATATCACCGTTGTAGGTTTCTCCCGTTCCTGGAAATCTCGTACTTTGTCGACCACAAGATTTTGCAAATTTTTAGTCTAATTGTTTGGTTTCAAATTCGCGGGAAGATAAACTCGATAAATTACCAACAACACTGCGTTGCTCTAAACCATCTATCGTGTAATTGTGGTAAAGTTGTACAGTAGTAACAGCTCCGTCAAAAAATATAATGAGAAATCATAGCTACGCTGGTATATATTTTCCATGTCAGTAGGAGAATGATTTTTGTCCAACTGTACTGTACCTCCTTAGGTTAACTTTTAACTCTTTGGTTGTTTCTGCACTGGGGTGAACGAAAGCGCGAATACATACTATGCATTCGCGCGATAAATGCATAGTATGTATTCGTGCGATATATGTTTTCTCGCGCTTCAACGTACAGTGCGTTCGCCCGAACGTATTGATACGGTTATAATCACTTACGCAAGTCATTCACTTGCGTAGCCACTTTAGGAAAATGAGACTCGATGGGCGACACTGAAAGCCGGACTACAGAGACAGCAAAGCTGCAGAGCACCATGAGCCATTTGCATTGCGCAAGTGCCGCGCTGCGGGCCACCGCCTGTGAGGCGATACTGGATAGCTCGCGGTGATTCAGAAGCGATGTGAACGAGTCAAGTTTGCGACCGAGATGACCGGGGTTCTCCTGACCTTTTGTCCGGTCTTCGGCCGTGCTTATTTGCGCCGACACCCGGTGTGCCGCACAGTGCGGTCTGCACTCAGCCTTGATCATCGAGTCAATGGTCGGTCGAGTGTCGCTCGTGAACACGCGCGTCATGGACGCCGATCCGTCCGCTCCCCACCGGGCTCTAGGTGTCCAGAGAAGCTCCTCTCTGGCTTCTGCTGCTGGATACAACCTGTCGCATGTGTAATAAATACATCCGCTGTACTTGATGCCGACACCGCTATACTCCATTCCCGACTTTCATGTACAAGTATTAGCTCAGCTCGCCGTAACCGTATCGATGTTGCGCTACGCAACTTGCGCAGTCCAACTTCTTGACGGAAAGACGAAAAGATCTGGTATCGCTTTGAAGATCATTTGAGTCTAATGTCGGTCACCTTCACATGTGCGTTGAAGTCCCAAAATGGCTACACCCTCATGCAGCAAAAATATCGCTCTTGCAGGTGCGTCCTGATCCATACGAAAAGATAAAGTGTAGCACGAAGTTGACCAGTGTGATCAGAAGGGTAAGGACGTCATGCTGGAGAAGAATGCGACTGCCGTGAATCCCGAGGATGCAGAATGCTCCGGTATCAAGAGTGACGCTAACCCCGAGACGCAGCCGCCACCTCGCCCAGATGAAGCGGGAACCAAAGTAGAAGAACTGAAGTCCAAGACTTCGGCGGTGGCATTTCTCTTGTCGCCCGTCGATCGCTATGGGTTCCTGGTCACTGATAAGTGAGTGCAAGTGCTGATGGAGGAGCACGCATAAATGTCTCTCATCATTCTTGTGTTGTTGCTGCAGGCGCTACAATGGTGGACATACAGCCGCTACGCACAAGCACGCAGTGTGGCTGGAGAACCGCCGCACCCAGAAGTGGGTCAAGATGATTGGCAAACAACTTGAGGACTGGGAGGTCTGTCAGCTACGGAATGCCGCTACACTTAAGAAGCGTATTCGTAAGGGCATTCCCGAGGCGCTACGTGGTCGCGTGTGGAGTCACCTTGCTGGGTCTTCACAAATGCTACTGAACAACCCAGGAGCGTACCACCAACTATTACAGACGACTCAGGTTCCTTGTGAAGAGACGATCGCGCGCGATATCGGTCGCACGTTCCCCAAACACTCACTATTTCGCGATCGCTCCTCGCTGGGGCAATGTGCTCTCATGAACGTGCTTAAAGCATACTCGCTGCATGATCCAGAGGTCGGCTACTGCCAAGGGATGGGCTTCCTCACGGCCATGTTTCTTTGTTACATGCCGGAGCAGCAGGCTTTCTGGCTGCTTGTGGCATGTCTGAATCACAAACGCTATGGGCTTGCAGACCTGTACCGCCCACGCATGCCGAAGGTGCCTGAGGTGACTTTCATCTTTGAGGGGCTCTTCAAGCAGCTCATGCCCCAGCTTTCAGCTCATCTCGAGAATGAAGGCTTGCACCCGACCATGTATCTCACCCAGTGGTTTCTCACTCTGTTCACGTACAATTTCCCTTTCGAGTTTGTCACTCGAGTCTGGGATGCCTTCCTACATGAGGGGTGGAAAGTTATCTATCGCGTTGCATTAGCTCTTATGAAGCTCTCACAGAGTACGCTTGCGTGTGTTGCGATGAGGCTCCACAACTATGATCACACTAACCCGATGTTCGATGTTGGTGTTGCGAGTAGAAACCCTTTTGAGCTCCAAGTTTGAGCTCATCATGGAATACTTTCGTGAACTACCCAACAAGGTGCGTGCACTTAAAGCTCCCGGAGGCTGTAACTGTGCTCATGATGCATTCATGCGCTTAGGTGGATACCGATGAAGTATTAGCGGCGGCATTTCGGATGCCCATAAAGCGAGCTCAGATCGCGCATCTGCTGGAGTTGTACAACAGCGCGTCCAGTGCCTCGTAAATCTCGGCTTGTGGATACTTGTACTATATTTTTCACGTAATAAATGAAGCGCGACACTGAATTGGACAGCTCAGATAGATTATCTATAATAACAGCGACGTTTCCGCGCACGGTAAGAGGAGATCCGACTCCCGAACAAAAACACTCGCTCGACTCGCTAGGTATATGAAAATGCACATATGTCACCACTTAGTCTTGCTTGATTGGAGCCGTAGTGGCTAAGGGGGCCGAGCTCGTAGCGAAGTGCTTCTTGAGTCTGGGCAGCACGACGCCACCCACTGCTGCCACCACAATTAGCTGCACCGTGGTGGCCGTGTCGATGATGTCGCCTCGTGATCGAAGCTCACGCAAGATGAGACCAGCCTTGCAGCTCAAGAAGTTGTACGGGATGAGACCGACGAGCGGGCCAAGTGTGAACTGGCCCAACGGGATGTCCAAGTGTGGCGACGCCATGTTGATAAACCAGTTGGGCGTGAATGGGAACACGCGCAGAAAGATCATATACAGCGCCATCTCGTCGCGATGCGCGTCCAGCATGCCGCGCAGAGTGTCGAGCTTCTGTGGAAAGAAGCACGTGACCACCCGACGGCCGAAGCGACGCGACAGCAGGAACATGAAGACGGAGCCCAGCGTGTTGTAGACCAAACACATAGGGAAGCCTAGCGTCACGCCGAATAGTGCACCGCCAAGAAGATTGAAGAACACCGTGCCCGGGATGGCAAAAGTCTGTAGATACAGGTAGCAGCCCATGTGCGCAAGTAGCAGCGAGCCGGACTGGCGCTCCGAGAAGCTCTGCAGCGTCTCACCTAGTTGTTGGGCAGCCTCCAGTGATGTTGGCAAACGCAGCGCCGCCCACTCCGCGTCTGTGAGCGCCGAGACAACCAGCATGTGCAGCGTCGCGCCCAGTAGGGCCGTACTGACGAGGAAGATGACGCCAACGAGTTGGACGTCGCGGCGCCAACCCTGAGGAGGATCCAATACGGACACCGAGAGCTTCTCAGCATCGCTGGCGATAGCCTTGGCGTCAGCGGCGGCGGCGAACGGGGACGAGGATTCCGGTACGTGAGGAGGCATGACTGCAACTGAGAGAAAAAGTCCACGGGCCAGTTTTTGAATGAGAATAGTTTTAGCAGAATGTTTTCTCATCTGTCACCATTTCTACTGGGCTAAACCCTTTCTTATCTGGTTTCTAAAATAGTAAACTTCGTAGTACCGGTATGGAAATAAAAGCGGCAAAACTGAAATAGTACTAATACTACCAGAACTGTAGCACATGTACAGTATATCTAGCTCTGACAACACGCGCCACTCAATCAAACGGTTGCGAATTTGTGATTGTGCTACAGGAGTTATGGTCCTAAGTCGACTTGTGGCAGGATACGGCCCCCGTTCATACCTATACAGTGCTCTGCGTGCCTCGCCATCGCTGACTAATGCGCTATCTTCGAAGCAGATGCAATGGCAGCGCTCGCCCTGTGCCGTAGTTCCTCCGTTCCTGTCTTCAAACGCCAACAGCGTCGGCTTCGTGCGAACAAAGGTGAGCGAGCGAGCGCTTCGTCGCAAGAACCTGCGCAAGATGAAGAGTCAGAAAGGAGGCAAGGTGCCGATGCTGAAGGACACACTGCGCAAGCTCTATCTACGCACGCACCCGGATCTGTTCGGACGGTATCCGGAACAGCAGCGCGCAAACGAGGAGTCGTACAAGGAGCTTCTTGGCATTTTGGACGCGATCGAGAAGCATAACGAGTTCCCTCCGGCCAAAACGCTGGTACTTCCATTCTTTTTGAAGACGCCGGTGGAGGGCGAGTTTAAGGAGGTGGATTTGCAGCTCCGCACGACGGGTGGCGCATGCAACACGCTTGTGGAGGAGGCGTTGGGTCGGTTCTTCGGCGAGTGTGGTCTTCCTGAGGTGTTCCAGTGGGGCGAGGGAAGCTGGGGTAAGGCTGTGGGCAAGGACGCTGTGGAGAATTCAAATTTGGGCTTCGACAAGGAGGAGGAAGCTCGCGAGAAGGCCCGCAAGGAGGCAGAGGCGGCGGCGATGCGTGAGGAACAGCTTCGCCGGTCGGCTCCTGCGTACAACCCTGTGGACCGCAGTGCACCGGACGACCATTCTATTGAGAAGGTTTTGAACGAGATGGACGACACGCTTCAGCTTATTGCTGCTATGCCGTACCTTGACGAGGAGGACGAGCAGCAGCGTGCCTTTAAGACCCACTTTGAGCAGGGATCAGGTCTGGATGATCTCGATGCCCAAGGCTACACTGTCAAAGCGGGTGTGATTAAGATGTGGCAGGGTGAACGTGATCTGAATGCGCTCATTAAGGGTGTGAATGCCGACTCTGCCATTATTCTACAGCGGATTCTATGCACGCACTTGACATCGAAAAACAGTTGGCCGACATCATCACCAAGGGAGGAGTTGATGATGACGACGAGGCAGAAGACGCCCAGAGCAAGTAGAGCCTATAGAGACCAGAGCAGCGTACATGATCAGCCCCAAATGCATGATGTGTATTCTTTTGCAGTATTAACCACTGACGTCTATTTTCGAAGTCCCGTAAGCTAATCAAAAGTTCATTGCTGTTGAGGAATGCCACCAGGAAGCGCATCCAACACAAAGAGACATACGTCGAGAAGTGCTCAGTCCAAGCATGCTTCGATCTGCGCTGTCGTCTCTGATACCAGGTGTGGCTCAGCCTTACTGCAGAAGGGAGGGAAATGTTTCAGTATCAAAGGCAACAACAGCGTTCATCCTGTTGTTCCAATCGCTCGCTCGCTGGTGCTGACGCCTTCAACGGAAAATACTGAAAACACCTCAACACCGTACATATCAACGAGTCAGAGTCCACAAAACTACCTTGTCAAGGTGCGGGTATTGCACGGAATCGACTTACATATTCCACGTACGAAAACGTGTCAGCATCCAGTGCGGCCTCAGGTAAATGTTACAGTCAATGGTAGTACAACGCAGTCCAGCACTGCGACTCAGCATGCTCGAAACCATTCCACGTGGAAGAAAGACGAGCTGAAGTTCCGTGTCAGCGGTAGATACCAAGAACCAGTGGAGTTCAAACCCGACAGTGGACCTTCCTCTTACATCTCGATGTACGTCGCACTCGCTTGCACCGCATGTCCATGCACGTCGAAGACTCGGGATAATGCCGTCAACCGCGTTGAAATTGGAGAAGTGGGGGAACTTCAGCTACCTACCAAACAAAATGGTGATTACGAGATCGCACAATTCTTTCCAGTCATCAGACGCCAGCAGCAACACTCGCACTCGTCGTACGCACTACTTCCTGCCGGTAAAATCAAGCTTTGCATTCGCGTGGAATTAGAAAAAAACATATTGGACCGTGTTGTAACGCAACCTGAAATCCCCAAGCGCCCTCCTTTCGCACTACCCACCAACTTCGGAGGTGTACTTCAGCTTAAACGGAAACAATTGAAAGCCACCGTAGCGCCAGACGACAACTCGCAAAAGTCAAATAACCAGCAGTTTGACTCGAGTGTCTCTGTCCAATTGTTAAAGGAGATCGCCAACGAGACAAAACATGATTTGATTAATGCAGAGAATTTGAAAGTTGAAGGACAACTTGGAGAAGGCATTCACTCTTGTGTTAGCCTCGGTATTTTACACCTAGAGAGCGATACTCGTGGCCGGCAGGTTGCAGTGAAAGAATTCCGACATCAACACGCAGTTCCACCCGTTAACGTCCTCCGTGCTTTTCAACAAGAGTATCGGATTCTGGAAAGGTGTCGAAACCAGAATGGCCAGGAGTACATAGTTGAACTTCTCGGCGTGATATTGGAACCTCGTCTGGTTATCCTCATGGAGTACTTCAGTCATAGCAGGTGAGCAATCTCTCGTCCTTCTCAGTGATTCCGATTATCTGACTCAATTACGTGCTTGCATCTCTCCTTCCTGAAGCTTGGCCCAGTGTCTGCAAGATGAAGTCTCGTGGGGTCAAATAACAATAAAACAGGCACGCTCATGTTGGTCCTGTTTGCATTTGTCTTCAGCTCATCCTCATTTTCGACTTGTGTGAGCAGAAAGTAACACTTGGATTGAAAATTGCGCGTGGAATCGCTTGGCTGCACAGGCACGACATGATTCATCGGGACATTAAAACGCACAATATCCTTATTGGCGCCGATCTGGCAACACCAAACGCAAGAGTGAAGGTAAAAATTGTGACTTCTCTTGTCGCTTAAGACATGCTAACCTTGCTGGACATAGGTCGGGGATTTAGGCAGTGCTGTAGTTTGGCAGCAGCACGAACCACTGCTTCTGGAGGAGGTAGGGTCGTCTGGATACACTGCTCCCGAGATATTTACACACCAGGGTTATGGCAGCAAAGTCGACGTTTGGAGTTTTGGAGTTGTGCTGTGGGAGGTAGCTTCAAGCTCGTTGCACAATCGGGTTAATCCATTCACGGGAATCACAGGAGAGGAATTTGTAAGCAAAGTCCAAAGCGGATGCCGACCCCATTTCGCTCACACCCATCAGCTCTGTGTCAAGCCTGTCGTCGAGAAATGCTGGACACTCAATCCGTCACTACGACCCACTATGGATGAAGTAGTCAACGAGCTAGAAAAACTATGCTCCCAGCTCTAGCTAGTATCACGAACTCTATAGATTGTAGAACGAAATTATGTACAATGTCTAATTGGCGATGTTGCTTTCTTTCGGCTCTTCGTCGTCACCGGGGTCAACACCGCCATTAGTGAGCATCTCACGCACTTTCCTTTCGATATTGAGCGTGTGGAGCAAGATACGCTGGAGGATGAGTGCTGAATCGGTGTCTGCACCACACGCCACCTTTTTGAGGTCTCGCTCACCCTTCCAGATCATGTGCGTACCAGCTTTGATCCTGTACCCACGCTCATCAATCTCGTCCAGTCCTCGACCCTTCTCAAAGTGTTCTCGCACCTCGCCATATTCCTCTTCATCCATTAGAGGCACAGCGGCAATGATTTCAAACACCTCGTTTAGTTCCTCCAGAACCTTTTCGATTGAAGCATCCTCCATTGTCGTCTTGCCGTCGTCAGGGTTGTAGGCTGGTGCAGCCTGTTCCGCTTGCTCTTGACACGTCACCGCAGCCTCCGCCTCCTCGCGAGCTTCTTCCTCCTTGTCGAAGCCCAAGTTCGAGTTCTCCACAGCGTCCTTGCCCACAGCCTTACCCCAGCTTCCCTCACCCCACTGGAACACCTCAGGAAGACCACACTCGCCGAAGAAACGACCCAACGCCTCCTCCACAAGCGTGTTGCATGCACCACCCGTCGTGCGGAGCTGCAAATCCACCTCCTTAAATTCGCCCTCCACCGGCGTCTTCAAAAAGAATGGAAGCACCAGCGTTTTGGCCGGAGGGAACTCGTTATACTTCTCGATCGCGTCCAAAATGCCAAGAAGCTCCTTGTACGACTCCTCGTTTGCGCGCTGCTGTTCCGGATACCGTCCGAACAGATCCGGGTGCGTGCGTAGATAGAGCTTGCGCAGTGTGTCCTTCAGCATCGGCACCTTGCCTCCTTTCTGACTCTTCATCTTGCGCAGGTTCTTGCGGCGAAGCGCTCGCTCGCTCACCTTTGTTCGAACGAAGCCGACGCTGTTGGCGTTTGAAGACAGGAGCGGAGGAGCTACGGCACAGGGCGAGCGCTGCCACTGCATCTGCTTCGAAGATAGTGCATTGGTTAGCAATGGCGAGGCGCGCAGAGTACTGAATAGGTATGAACGGGAGGCGGCGCGGGTCGCGAGCCGAGACATCGTAGCGAAGGTCATGAAGGTGCTGGGTTCACGAGTCAAACCAACGGTTGCCAAAAAGTTCATTTAAGTTAAATATCTAAAAAATATTTTTTTAATTTAATAGAATAAGTATTTTTTAGTATTGGTATACCTAATAATAAGCTTAGAAAGATTTTAGGCTTTTTCTTTGTTTCAGTAAAACAAATTCTGTGGACTGCCCGAAATTGCATTAAAGTAGAATTTCGTGCACTTGCATTCAGCATTTTACTACGTAAATGACCCAGCATCCGCTCGGGTGGACTTGTCAAGTCACCCTAGATTTCGTAATAATCCAATGACCTGGCACGGCTCACACCGCGTAAGGTTTGCCAGCTCAGGCATCAGCATTCGCCTTTGGCGTGGAATCAGTATTTAGTCGCAGATACTGGTCCGAGCTGAGTTTTCATTTTACAAAATTGACCACGTCAGGACCAATGCCCTCAGTGGACAGCCCAGTAAATTGGTACAAATACTAAACCATCAATTAACTCCCAAAAGCGAGATCGAATCCGGGACCTCTCGCGCCCTAAGCGAGAATCATACCACTAGACCACAAGGCCACGCAAACGCAAATTCACACCCACATGTCGCGCCACCAGCACGCACCCCACGCCACTCACATACGCTTTGCGTCCCTTCTATCACGCTCTCTGCACCAGCACGTGCCCATGCCCACCCTCCTCGTTGACTTTAGACGCGTTTCGTCCCCGATCCCACACGATACATTTTGGAAGTGATGCCGTCCTTTACAGGTGTGCTGGGCGTTGCGGTAGCATACCACACGTGCCAGGAGCCAGGCAGACACCACAAAGACACAGCAGGAGGCCCACACAAGCCAAGACGAGCGAGTTTCAGGAGAGACCAAAAAGGCGAGCAAAGAACAGGGCCTTGCCGGAGATCGAATCCGGGACCTCTCGCGCACCCTAAGCGAAAATCATACCGCTAATGTAAAGAGGTTACACGCAAGTGGCTACTTGGTTACGAAAGAGGTTTTCCAGATTGGAGTGAGATTCATCAATGGCTACATCTGGTAGACTGTTGGTCTGCATGTATTCAAGACATTCATTGGTTGAAAGTCAATACATTCACCCAATTAGAAAATTAGGATTCTGTCAACGATTCGTTGATAAATACCTTTCATTTAGAATATGAGATTAAGAGGAAGACCCAAACAAACAAACAAACTGTTCGCATTTTACCCCCCGCGTCGTCCACGTCGGATAAGGAGCTCAACTCCTCCTCAGGTCCCAGCACGACCACCTCGGCTAGCTCGCCTGCCTTCAAGGCTTCGACAAACTCGGTAATGGACATCTAGTCCAGCTAAATGTCCATCGCCGAGTTTGTCGAAGCTGTCCATGGGTTGGCTCTCCGCCCCGTGTTCGTATTCCATACAAACTCGTTAGTTAGTCGGTCGTTGGACGGACTACAACGTGCTACCATGTGTAATGGGCCTACTTTAAGCCCACTACTTCGGCTTACACGTTAGTGTATGTGTATGAGGAAGCGTAAGTTGCGCTTCACTTAAATTAACTATACTTCGTCTGAAAGTATAGATTTACATAAATAACCGTATCGACAATGCTACATACGCTGTCGCTGACAGAGCAACACGGTGTTGCTCTGGTATTCATCGGGAGCGAGCAGCGTGACGCTGCTGCCGCTACGAAAGTGTCGTCCGGGACGACACCGCGCGTGCAGTACTGCACGTGAGCAATTATGTGGGGAAAGAGGACGAGCATCTTCTCCGATGGCTTGTCGAACTCGACACTGTCATAGCGGCTCGTCATATCACTGACGAACCGTCGAAGGTTGCGTTCGCCTAGTCATGCCTTGGCGGACGAGCGAGGAGCTGGGCGTATGGACGCCGGCTTACAGATCATACGTGCTTTAGCACGTATGCAATATTCAAGGAGGAGCTCAGACAAGCGTTTTGAGCCCCTCAGAATGGGTTCCAGTCGAGAGGAGAGTTTCGCGACCTGCAGCAGGGTAAGCATGACGTTCGTGCTTACGTCCAACGTGCGCGGTACTTGGTCTCGAACATCGGGACCAATTCAATCGACGAGGCGACGAAGGTCGTCACGTTGATGAAGGGCGTGAAGGGTGGGTCGGTTAAGACCTATATCTTCCAAGAGTACCCAAGTACTCTCGAAGCTGCGATTGCTCTTGCAATGCAAAAGGAGTTTAGCCTGAAGCAGGCTAAGCTGCATGCGAGCGTGCCGAGGATGACACGTCCGATAATGAGAGCGGGAGGTCCAGAGCCAATGGACCTCTCGAATACTGGGGACAAGTGCGGTGTTACCGATGTGGGTACACCGGACACTTCGTGCGTGAGTACATGTACATAGCGCCTGTGCACTCGGCCAGGGGCCAATAAAAAAGTGTAGATCCAGTAGACGCGCGGTGCCCAACTAGTATTGCAGTCGCGCGTGTCTAGAGCGGACACGCGACGCTGAGGACTGCAGTCCGTCCCCAGAGCGAGGGATTCTCGCTGCAAGAAGAAGGATGCCAAGCCAAATCTTGTCATCTTGAAAGTGACGTCGAAGAAAGCAGACTCTCTTCGTGCTTTGGTTGACTCAGGTGCGTCGAACAACTTGGTTTGACTGGAAAGTCTCCCGAAGCGTAGATTCGAGGAAGTTAAAACACCTTGAGCTGTTGTAAAGGTGCGGTCGGCAACAGGTACCACCGTAAGAGCGGAGAAGCGCGTAGTGCGCGTGCGCTTTTCGTACAAACACCGGGTGTATGTGGAAGATCTTATCGTCCTGGAGCTGGACGATAAGTTTGACTTGGTATTGGGCATACCGTGGCTTACACGGCATGATCCAGTGATCAGCTGGGAGAAGTGTACACTTATACACTTCGGACGCAACGCGACAGAGGACGATGACCCTGTCAGTGTCGCGCATGCACCGCGAGGTGCATCCGATTCCACCGCTAAGGCAGCACCTTACGCTGCAGCCTCCGGTGCCCATTCACATGTCAGGCAGTCATTGAGTCTGTCTCAAATTGGAAATCAGATTTGAGACACGCTCATACTTCAATGACCGTATCAACTCGGGGAGTTTATCGATCAAGTATGAAAGAACTTCAAGTCACAGGCAATGACTGTGACGGTGGTGCGTCGGTCCCGGAGACTGACGCATCAGATATGCAAAGGACTCCAGCTACAGACAGTAGCTGTGATGTCGGCATGTCAGCTCCGGGAGTTGACACGGTCGTGATTGGTTCAAACATCAGGAGGGCTCCGCCGAATGACGTCGAGATGACAAGGATGTGTCGACTCAACACAAAGTCGATATCAACATCGAGAGGGGACTCCGCCGAAAGGCGTCGAGGTGATGACAGCGCGTCAGCTCCGGGAGCTGACGACGTGGCAAGCAGTGTTGGCGGTTGCAAACGTCCTACACTGAAATTGGTTGTGTGCTCGCGTGCAGCCGGGCTGCATGACGAACCGGATTGTAATCAAGCCGGGCTTGATCATTCGCGTCCGCGGAAAGAATCCGCCGACGGTTGCAACGGAAATCCGTCCAAGGCCGAGCCTGGACGAGGAACATGTGAAGCCGGGCTTTAAAAGAACAAAAGACGGCGCTAGCGACGAAAGCTGCGCAAGTCTCGGTCCGGGGCCGAGGCGATACGAGCGATGTCTGTCGGGAAGACATCGGAGACGACGTCGTGCGTCGAGACGTTGAACGACTTGACACGTACCCGCACTGGCCTTCAGTACCGGTCAATGCAGCTGGAGAATCCTCCGACGAGTGCGTCGTAGTTGACGTCGCTTCCAGTCATGGGCTGGATGCGCTTTGCGAAGGACCTGTCGATGGACGCATCGAACAGATATGGATCCTTTTGGATATCGAAAGAATGGAAAGCAAAGAGGAGGAGTTGAGACAACTCCACGCTGCGAGTACCGCTTGAGAGTAAGGACACGCTCAGCGCGAAGACGAATAAGCAGTGCTTCGACGAGCAGAGCTGAGACTCACTAAAGTTGATTCCCTTCTACGATGTTCTGCTGGAACACAAGAAAGTGCTCCCGGGAGAGACTCCCGCAGAACTTCCGCAGGATAAGGGCATACAGCACGTGATTAACCTCGTGCCGTGTACAAAGTACTGTGTGACGCGGCAGTGGCCATGGCCGCGAAATCAAGTAAAGGCAATCGACGACTTCTTTAAAAGTCGTCGTAAAGCGGGTCAAGTGCGGGTATCAAACCCCCGTACAGCGCATCAAAGTTCTGTGTCAAGAAGTCACAGGGTGGATGACGCAATCGTTCATGCTTACAACAAGCTGAACGATGCGACGATACCGGCGCAGACGCCGATACCACGAAAAGAAGAGCACCATCTACAGTGCGCTTGATCTGCGCGACGGCTTCTATCAGATCCTGATGCGTGAGAGGGGCATTCCTCTCACGGCAGTGAGCACTCCAAGTGGCATGCTTTGGTAGTGGCTCGAAATGCCACAGGGACTGACGAACGCCCCTGAAACCTTCAATAGATGTATTACACATCTATTGCGCTCAATGCGTGACATCGTGCCGAGCTACTTCGACGACGTGTTCGCTCAAAGCCGGGCTGTGGACGGGAAGACTGACGTCGAGGTGCACAAAGAGCACCTCCGTCAACTGCTAGGGCTTATACGTAAACATAAGCTCTATGCGAACCTGAAGAAATTTATCTTCGGGGTGAGCAAGATACCCGTCCTTGAATATCTCGTCGGGAAGAACGGCGCACGCCCTGACAGAAAAAGTCAGACTGATCAATGAATGGTCTACGCCATCCAACGTGAAGGAACTAAGGCAGTTCCTTGCGCTGGCAACGTACTTGTGCAAGTACGTTGAGAATTACGCGGCAATATTCGCCCGCTGTCACAGCTCCTGAAAATGGAGGCTGGGTGGATCGGGAGTGCTGATTGTCAGCAGGCCTTCGATACAGTCAAGCAGGGCTTGACTGAGGCGATCTTGGCAGTGGCTGACCAAGATCACTCATTGCACATCGTGTGTGACGCGTCCGATT